CTCTCTCTCCGGTTGGCTCTGTGCACTTATGTAGAGAATCGGAATTGTTATATGCTCCCCCCCATGCGCACCCGCTCAGAATAAAAACAAACAGCAGGAAATGAAAAAAAAAAAAAAAAAAAAAAAAGAAGAACACCCCCCAAAAAGGGAAAATAAATCGAGTGGTCAGAAATCTAACCGGGAGGGGAAGGGCATCTGCGAGAGACGGAAGCGGAGAGGGTTAATAAAAAGAGAAAGAGAGAGAGGGAAAGGGAGAAAAACAGAAGGGGAGAGGGAGAGAGAGAGGGGGAGAGAGAGAGAATCGAGCCCCCGAAATCAGTAAAGTGGCTGCTGCATATGGAGTTCTCCCAGCCAGCCAGCCAGCTCCCCCAGCGCCTGCAAGCCTGTATTTTGGGGGAAGTATAGAGTCTGAAGTGAAGAGTTGAGGGAAGGAGCACTCGAGTTTCTGAGGGACATTGGAAAACAGAGCTGTCCGTCACCGCCGCTCATCTGCATAGCGCGGCGGGCCCGCCCCCTCCCGCTCCGGCCCCGTCTCCTCCCGCGGCCGGCAGGCAGGCAGGCAGGCAAGGAGGCAGCGGAGGCAGGCTGCTTTGTAATGCAAGCCAGCCTCTCCGACTGCGAGCACACTGCTGCAGCCAAATGATGATACCGCTCATCAGCTCCTCTCCGCACTCGCGCAGCCATAAATACTCTTTTCGCACACTCTCGATTACCCCACCCCCCGACCCCTCTCCCTCTTCCTATACCCACGGCGGCGAGCAGAAAAGAATATGCCTCATAAATCCGCGCATCCCTTCCCGCACACAAGCGCTCTGTGCCCGCACGCGTGTCTCCGGAGCGTGGGTTCGCGGGCGTGTGTGGGTCGGCGGGGCCGGGCGGGAGGCGGGCGGGCAGGGCGCGGGAGAGCCCGCTTGGGGCGAGCGCAGACTGCCCTATATGGCCGGGGAGGAGAGCGACTGCTCGGGCCAGCAGACCCAGGATCGCGCTGTTCCTGGCAGCCAGAGCTTTTATAGTTTTTTATAAGTTGCCACAAACAGTCAAATCAAGTCACGGAGCGCGTTTGCACATGAAGTAGGGGAAAAATAATAATAATAATAAAAAATCTCCTCATCTTTCTTTCATTTCTATTCTTCCCGGCCTGCTGCGTGTGGAAGAGGCCTGGGTGACTCCTTCCGGGGGGCTAGCTGCCTTCCTCCCCTAACCCCCCCTTTCGCAGTTCAGATTAATCTCCTGGAGCGCGATCACGATGTAGTTAATTTCCCAAATAACGTAACCTCTTCCTCTCCCTCCACCTCTCGGCCCCGGGCCACCATGAGCCCCTAGCCATTGCCAGCTCTGCTACGGTCCGGATAGGGGAGGAGGAGGTGAAGGAACCGCTTTTTTCCCCCTCAGTGCAAACGTAAATAGATGCACATACGTGCGCGTGCATTTCTTTAACGCTCAGCCCGGAGGGACCCTCCAGAGCCCGGCGGTGAGCTGACCCCGCTCCCCCGCCGGCCTTTGCCTCCCGGGACGAGGCACAGCGCCCGCTCGCCCTCCGGCAGCTCCGCCGGCCCCCTCCGTCCCCCCCGCCGCGGCGGTACCGGGGGTCTCCTCTGCCCCCCCTGTCCCCCAACTCCCCCCCTCCTCGGGGCACCGCGTCGGGCCCTGCCCGCCCCAGCGAGCCGCTAGGCCGCTCCGCGCCCGCCGCTCCGCACCTGCGGCCCCCAAAGCCCCGGGCGGGGCGGGAGCGGGCCGGCAGGGAGGGACGGGGCAGATGGGGCTGGGAACCACCGAGCTTCCCGCCTGCCCTTCACCCGCAACCTGCCCGGGACCAGCCGAAAAATAAACTGTTAGAGGCTCAGGAAAAAAAAAAAAAAGAGAGAGAGACAGAGGAAAAAGAGATGTTCATCAAAACGCATGCTTTATTTTTTTCAACATCTGTGAGTGAGCACTTATCCCCCCATTTAACCAAATGAAGTCGCTTGGCGTTCACGGCCGACTTCTTCACGGAGCACCTCGGGAAGTTTGAGCGAGGCAGGATGGAGAGGAGCATCCCACGAGGTGCGCCGAGGAGTCGGTGGCCACCGGCAGGAGGGGAGATGGCCATAGCTGAAGAATTGGAGGTTAGCAGGGCAGCCTATTTTTAATCAATTAAACACGCAGCTAATAAAAAAAATACACTTCGAGAAGCCGTTTCAATAGCCTCAAAATGCCGTATTGAAACTACAGTCAAGTGTCGGGATGCGTACAGTGTCTGAAGCAATCCGAGCTTTCGATTTTCTTTTTCTACTTTTTTTTTTTTATTTTTTTATTTTTAATTTATTTCCCTTCATCTCCTCCTCTTTTGTGAAACCCACATACCAGCTTACCCCTGCCCCTGCACGCAGCAGCAAAGATCTGGCCACCAGACATACCGGATTAATCCCTATCCAGATCTATCAGCTGGCCTGTAGAAGAAGCGATCCTTAAAAAAGCAGGTGAGGGGGAGGAGGTTAACACCAACAGGTATTTCTTGTCATTAACTCCCGACTTCCTGATAAGAGAGTGATAAACAACTGGTAAACTCAGTACAACAGATTACAGAAAAGACATTTGCTTCCCTGCTTGGTGATTAATGCGCATATATTAAATAAAAATAGAAACTCTAAAAACAAGAGCTTTATATAAAACACATTCATATTTCAGTAGTTCTATGGAATAATCGATATCATGCGATTACATCTGAATAGTCAATTCCTGTGTTCCGCAGACCGATTTCTAAGTATATGAGCTCTGCTTCTGAACGGAGCAGCAGCTGGAGAGCTGAGAATGCAAAATTAATTATAACATTATAAAGTCATACATGAATCTCTCTAAGTCAACCTGCATGCCTTGCAAAATGTGCTA